GTGTGTGTGTGTGTGTGAGTTTATATGCGCGTGTGTGTGTGAGTTTATATGCGCGCGCGCGCGTGTGTGTGTGTGTTTGTGTGTTTGTGTGTGCGTGCGTGCGTGCGTGAGCGTGTCGTGCGCTCGTAGTGGAACACCAAACCATTGTACCGAGATATGGAAATATGGATTTATCCCAAAGGTTAGGAGAGCTCGTACTCACAAAAGGGGTGAAACAAGAACATTGAACCAATGTACGGTAACGCACACCGTCCCCCGGGACCGGGAATGGCCTCAATAGGTTTCAGATGAGCGACACCGCCACTGTTGACCCGTCCTCCACTCGACAGCCGGGGTGTGGGGGCAGTGCTCTCTTCGGATCTCACGTGATGGTCTCCTTCCAGCCTTGCTCCGAGTTGAGCTCGCTTGGCAGAAGCTTTGAAAAATCTCTTTGTGACCCACATGGCTTTTGGCCTTCCTGCACTAAAATCTATGCTATGTAGATGGTAAAAGAAGAAAGAGAAATATGATATCATAATCATCATCATCATAAACGTTGTTGTTGTTGTAAATAAAATAAGAAAAATATTGATTGAGACTTGAGTATTATTAATTTGAAGTTTTATATCATGATATATTAATTTGTCCAAAGTTTCGCCCTATTTAGCATCGCATTTTTCATCATCATCGTCACAGTAGAAAAAATAGAAGAGAGTAGGAGGGTCTTGCGTAATTGTCGGTAAGTAAATCCAATGTAAATTTTTTTAATGCGAGGTTACTAAAACAGCTCAACGTCTTGCCTCGAAGGCTTTTTCAGGAGAGACTGAAAATAAATTTGTGCATATATCGATTTTTTTCTTTCTTTTTTCTTTTCTTTATTTCTTTATTTCTTTATTTTTGTTTCTATTGTTTTTGTTGTTTTTTTGAGGGGGTACAATTTTTTATCGCTCGTCCAACTAAAGAGCATCATGATTGTTTGCATCCCCAACTTCTGAGCCCATTTTTTTCCCCATCAAACTGTCACCAGTAACTTGTACCACTTTGTCTTGATTGCATACGTAAATTGGCTATGGGCTCGGTATTAAGTAGCAGTGTTTTGTCTCAGTGGTGTCTTGCGGGATGGGACTTCACCTGGTTTTCTTCACCAAAAAGTTACTTCCTGGTTAAAATCAAAGCAAAGCATTTCACAAAAATCAAAACATAATACGTGTATTGTATTCCGGTTTTAAAAAAAGCGAAACTCCAAGTACACTCGAACGAAACTCCCGAGGCACAATAACTCGAAAACAATCTGAGCGATCTGAATGTTTTGTCACAGCAAGTCCTACCCTCTTTACAACTCTCCCGACGTCACTCTTTTGTCTTTGGTTTGGTAAGAGTTTTACAGCGCTCGCAACTACTTTTAAGTTATTCGTCTTTGTTAGAAACTAACTTACCGAATTAAAATATGTGACAATTTACTGTGTGACCAATAGTATATCACCATACTTTGTTGGCCTATTTCAAACGTATAAGAGAAGTTGGAGTTGTTTTCATCTTTCCATTTGATATGGTTCCCTGTTTGTGTGCAATTTTTCGGTTTGGGGAATTTCTAATGATGATATGCTCCAAAGGAAGTTCTGCTTGTTTGTTTGTTTTCGACCTCAGATTAGTGCGCCCAAAAAGCCATTCGTGTCAAGGAGTTAAGTGTCCTTTCCACATCAACCTACATCATTGTAAAAAAATAAAATTGCTTGAAAAGACAGTTCAAGATTGTCACACATTTAAAATCTCAAGGCTCAAAATAAATGGAATCAAAAGTTATTCACCAAAAAAGCTACGATGTTTTTGCGTTGGACGAGCTGTAGTTAGTTAAACCAGGCAGGTCAGACGTGACCCAGCATAAACCAGGTCAAGAGGTTAATCATTTCGAAATCAATGCTCGCGCATCTCTCTCAACATAATAATAATAACAATATAAATGCGAGTGCTGCCGTTGCAAGGTCTATAGAAAAAAAAGATAAAGAGTTCCATCCGCTGACAATAAGCGGAAGGGTGGTTAATCGCTTAACTGAGCGCGAGATAAAAACGGGAAATTATATAAAACGCATTTCTTTTTACAGTCATGGGTTAGAAAAGGAGAGGGAGAAAAAAAGAGAGAAAGAGCACGAGAGCGAGAGAGAAAGAGAGAGAGAGAGAGA